TTTCAACAGTGGCCACAAACAAGCACCTGAAAATAGACTCTGACTTTTTGATTATACACAGCCAACTTGCTTGCTCTTTTAGCTGCCACCGTTGAGTTTTCCCAAGCAATCTCTAAACATAAAATAGGAGTGATTTTAAAAGAAAATGGGTTCATCAGGTCAGTGGTAGTGTAATTCTGGAAAGGGTATGAAAGTAAGGAAGTAATGATAATGCATGAATTGAAGGGCTGATATAATTTGCCACGGCTGCATTGAGGTAAGAAATTGTAAATAAAACTTCCTGTCTGTCTGGAACATAATGAGTTCTCTACCTTTTAACAGCACCTGCAAAATAAATTAAAAGAAAACACACACTGCCTTTCTTCTCTTACAGATAGTATCTATTTATTAAGGTAAAAGGAACACTGACAGAGAATACTGCTTCTGCACAACAATACTTGCATTAACTCCAAAGTCCTGGCCACTGCCCAGAGATGAAGAAAGACGGAGGAAAGACGCTGGCATAGGAATAAAGTGATCTGAAATTGCCACTGACAGTAAAATAGGGAGAGTGATGGGCAGTAAAGGTTTGTCCCTGCCCTTCTCATAGCCTTCCTTGTGCTGGAAGGAGCGATGATTTTAGGGAGGGAGGGGATATCGGAAGGCAATTATTGTTTCTGTGAAAGAGGCATTACTATTAGTGTTTAACTGCAGCCGCTGCTTTTATAACTTCTTAGTACTTCAGTAAAGATACTGTCCTTGCTGCTCTGAAGTTTTAGAGTGGACTTGCAAGTGCAGGAAGCTCAAGAACTGAAAGGGAACAGCAGTGAAAAAAGAATGATATGAATATGACACCCAATAAAAATATTCATAGCCAAAAGGTGTCAAGCTCAGCAAGCCCACTAAAGAGCACACAACAGCTGAGTTTCTGGAATATGCAATAATTAGACAATACTTCTTATAAAACTACACTGAAGATATCCTTTACCTAGCTGGTGACTCAAATGTATTGCACCACGCTTCTGTGAACAGGGATATGCCTAAAAGGAAGCAAACAAGGAAAGAGAGAGGAAAAAAAAAAACAAAACCAAACCTGACTTTTACCTACACACAATAGGCCTCTGCATAGTTACCTCTCATTCTCTTAAACCTCACCACAGGCAGGGACCCTATGTCTACCATCTGATCAAGGCCTCTGTGAACTACACACTGAAATGCTTCTATTTCTTATCTAGAGAGCAAAATGGACACTATGGTAGCAAAGACAGACGTGGTAAAGTCCATCAAAGCCTGAGAAGGTAACTCAGTCTACCTCTGCCTAGAGCCATTGGTCTCTCTGCTAAGGCTCCCAACCAGAGTGGCACATATGGGTGTAGAAATAACTCTTACATAGATATAACCCACTGCACAATTATTACCGATTTTCACCTGCACTGAGCTTGGTCTCCTGGTTTGAAGGCATATGCATTCCTTATTTCAGGATATAAGTCTTAAAAGGGTATACCACTTAAGATGTTATCCAGAAACTGAGTAATCCAAAGCATTGGGATTTTGGTTGGTAATTTCAGCTCAACCTGGTACATGTACCTTAATTCATGTTTATATGAAACATGTCTGGAAATTGTGCCACTGTTGTAATTTACAATTTAATGTAAAAAGTATTAAACACAGACAACATTTCTGAATTTTCTGCTTTTATAGACAAACATAATTTAAAGTCTTGCAGATTTTTCTTCTTCTGAAGCAACAGATAAAAATTAAAAAACAGTACAGGAAACTTACCTCTCCAGCACTTCTCTTTTCCCGCAGGAAGTATGGCAATTTTTTTAACACATTCAAAGGCAATTTACTGTGACATGACTTAAAAAGTAATGCTTATTTTTACAGTGTATAGGTTTTTTGCAACACAGTAGAATTCCTGTATGTCTGACAGCACAACGAATAGTGTGCAAAATACCATGTGGATTTAAAGTGACCAAAAGCAGAGGCTTGTTTATAATTGTCTTTCCTTTTGTTGCAGAACCCAAATTCTTCTCTTTTGGGGGCTGGAGCAGGGTGTCTGTGAGCCTCGAGAGAAAATAGGTCACTTATTTCAATAAGAAAAGGATGAGTTTTGGCTTGTTTTGTTTTCCCACAGGTAGTAACAAACTGTATCCTGAGCTTAAAAGCAGAAAGCTTAGTAAGGTCAGAAGTGAATGAATCCCCACGCTGTATTTCCACCATTTGTCTTTTCAGACTGATTTTTAACTCAACCTTCAAATGTTACAAGGAGGCTCTTATTGTTATCAAAAAAAAAAAAATATATATATATATATAGCACACATCATGGCAGAGCACTAAAGAAGGTGCAAGCCTGACCTTCTCCCTGGAGGGAAGTGCCAGGAGGCTGTCCACACTGTGGCTGAATTTGGCTGGATCCCAGCTCGGACCAGCTGGATTCCTGGAGCAAGCCTCGGACAAGGGCTGTGCCCATGACATTGTAACTGGCGTTCGAGCAAAAGCCTGCCTGATCTACAGTTTATCCAGTGACAGGGCATGTATGGCAGAGCCCAGCTGTAGGCATTCACACTTATTTTCAAAGTCCCTTAAACAAAAGGAGAGCTGGTCGTCTTTGAGAAGGTGACCATCAGGGATAGGCACATGCTGTTGTTATTAACCAAGTAAATGGATGTAAAAACATTGAAAGGAATGGAAACCAAGGCAAAGTAAGGTATAGAAACTTGTCTATATTATACCATTGCCACTAGATTTGGAAACTTCTAGTGCTCTTGTGCTCCCAATCACATTATCAAGGCATCTGGCCTTGCAGCCACTCAGTGTTCAGCACATTGTTTAAGGTACATCCCATAATACCTACTGCCCCGTGGTCATTTAGGAGCATTTGCATTGGAAAAATAGAAAAGGAAATAATCTTTAAAATTTAAAGGTGCAAACTATACTTGTATTTTTTTGTTTTAGACATATATAATGCCATATTAGAGTATGCAAGGTGGGAATCTAGGAAACAAAAATTAGACCTGTTTCAAAGAAATTTGGCTTGAGGCATCTGAATTTTGAATTTTCTATGTAAAACTCCTTCAAAATATACTCCTTTTTTGTATCAGTATGGCATATGTTGTAAATGTAACAAAGACTGAGAGATACAACTTTCAGCACAAAACTAGCATCATCTCTTGGAAGATTTATATACGTGACAGACTCTGAAATGAAATAAAAAAGAAAAATCAAACTTGTTTTAGGGCAGCAAACAAAATCATAAATAGTAGTTTTGTCACGTATATTTGCTGATTAGCCACGGCTTTGGAATTTTAAGTGCTAGTGTTGGGGAAAGGAAGGAATCGGCTGGGTGCAGTCTGAATTCTAGTTTCAAATGATTCCAGAACCTGTCCTCTAGTATATCAGGCCACTAATACACTAATAGATGTCTTTATCATAGCAGCAGAGAGATCAGCCTTAGGCCAAATTTTTTCTCAGAAACTATCACAGAACTAGCTTTATCCTGTTAATTCTGGACCTCAGTGGACTTCTAAAATCATCATGCAAACTGAACATATGGATTAATTGCAGAAAGAATAGATACTATCACTTATCTCTGAAAAATAATCAATATTGCAGAAAAGGCTTGTAAGCAGAATTAAAAGGAATGGTGATTTTCTTTAATCGGTTTTGAGCTATTATGCACTACCAATTTTCATTAGGACTTCTCATCTGCCCCTAGAACATACAGTGCTAGGTTAATTCTAGAATTAGTGTTACAGCCTGTCTCAGATTTCAGGTCCTCAAACTTTTATAGTTTACCTAAATAAAAATGAATTTGTGTTTTACAGCTCTTGGATACATTTGTTAAAACCTTCTTCCTTTCCTGTGCCTCAACACAGGCTGATGAGCACCACTACAGTGCTACCACTGCGTCTGGCCCACCTGCAGTGTCAGTCTACACAATTTTGGCTGAGCTTGGCCACACACCGTATAGTGAGCAGCCTTAGATATATAGAAACTTCTATATCTTCTATCTTCTATAGAAACTTTCAAACACATCTGACTGCTGTTAAGATGTAAGAGTTTCGTTGCCTTGCAGAGTATATGTACTATGCCACAATTATGTCTACAAGGGTCTAACTATGTATACAATGGCTCTCAAGCCCTTGATAGAACAGTTGGGTTCTCCATACAGATTCATATTAGGGGGGAGAGAGGATGTATATAAAACTAGCTCAGAAAGTTCTATCACATTTTATATGCTGTTCCTTGCCTACACTTTTTTGTTATTTTTTTGTGTGCTTTTTGGCTTTCACGCATTTTAAAATGATACAGTAGTATATCAATTATAATTGAGTGGTAAAAAATATATTGTTTCTCTCTTTGGTAGATGTATGGTATGCATGAGTCAAAGCAAAGATTTGTAGGCTGGAGAGAGATAATTTAAAAGTGTAATGGCTGTTAGTGCTTGCTTATGTTACTAAGTTTGTTTTCTTTTCCCTTTTTATATTTGTCATATAATTTTTACTGTGTGTTTTTCTCCTCCGAAAGCATTTCAAAAGACATTATAATCTACTACCTTGTCTTATAAAAGGTCATTAGTCACACAAATTGTCATTTAAGTTGAACTTTAAATTCTATGGATTTTCTGTTTCAGCCTGTAAGAAATTAGAGTGAAAGTGGAAATTAGAATCACTCTTTGACCAAGGTCAAAGCAAACTGTAAGAGACACCCCAATGTCTGCCCAGCTGGAATGATACTCAAACTCACGGGGTCAGGGAGAAGTGTCCATCACAGCCATGCCATTGTTGCACCCTCCACATCTAACCTTGGAAAGGCTCCAGCGTCTCATCAAAGGCTATTTTTAAAAGTGACATACACACATACACACACACACAAACATTTTGAAAAATTAAGATCTAGAGTGTAAAAGGACAGACTAAGCCTACAAGAGTAGTGCAGGGATCTTCAATTGTGTACTGCTACCTTGATAAGTCAGTTAACAGTTATTGATATTTGGACTTTAGGAAACCAAACGGTACTCACGTTGTTTTCGGCTGTTCCAGTCTCTTGAAAGAAGGTTCTTTCCTACTTCCCTGAAGTAGCAGCTGCAGGCACAGACCTGAAATGCAGAGAAGCCAGGCTACCCTATTTTCAGAGCTATTATAAAAAACACAAAAACACACCACCACCACACCCCATCCCGCCCCCAACTTTATCAACAGATGTTTCAAATGACAGATTTGGGTGTTGAACAGCCCTTTAATTTTTCCTTTTCTCCTCATCTGACATCACTTTCGGCAGGCCTGTGCCGTGCAGTGGAGAGGGGAAGGAGCAGTATGATGAGGATGCTGCTTGTGGGTCCCTGGGTGCAGCCGGGATGAGCCCCCGCTTGCCACCTGCGCTCCCCAGGGCACTTCTCATACCCGGGGCCATCTCACACACAGGTCTGATGCTGCAGCATTATTCTCCATCTACAGAGCTCTGCTGCATCCAGACTGATGTTTATTCATACTTTGGCACTGCAGTTCTCCATGTTTGGAGGCTCACCGCAGGACAAGGCCATTTTTTGTGGCTGGAATCCTCTGTTTCACTCGGACATTTGTTTCACATCATGTCGCTTGTGTACAGCTCATTATAAAAAATGTTTGGTGAAAAATTAATGTATAAACTGTTATCAGAATGATTTAGCCCCTGTTTTTATCAGTGCAGACCAACACAGCTCTTAATTGCAAAACTGACCTGGTCCCAAAGAAAAGGCCAGCTGTGTCTAATCATCCAGGGGACAGACCAAAACACACCAAATAAAGGAAACGGAAAGTAATGCCAAAATGTTTCAAGATGTAAAATGACACAACGTTCAATGAACACTTGCCAACATCATCTCTAATTACTGCAGTGATTAAGTAGTAAAGAATTTGGTCCCAAGGGGACTTCAGTTCTGAAGGAAATACGGTGCCATGTGTTACAGAATTTTTTCTTGCAAATCATTATGGAAATCCTGCTTTCTGTGGTTCTCCTAACAAACTCTTTCTTTGCAAAAACCATGCTTCATTTGTGAAGTGCAGAGGGAGTGTATCTTGCCTGCCTCTGAAGATTTACGTCTTTATTGCCATATATTCAACTTGCCTTTTAAAAAAAATCCTTTTATGTCTCTAAAGAAAGAAGCATAGAAAGCATTATATATTTGCATACTGTAAGGGTTCCTCTCATCCTCGCTGAAGAACAAACAGAGAATAGGGGAGGGCTAGATAAAAGCACTGAGACCTTAACACAGCATGGCAATGGCCTAACAAACAGCCAGAGAAACTGCAATTAGTGCAAGACCAGTTTAAAATTGTAGTCCTAGGGGACATCTTAGAAGACCTTGTTTAGAAGTACTTCTATTTTTTTTTTTTTTCATAATTCTCTTAACCACAAGATCAAAATTTGTTCAGCTTAAAAAACCCCGAAGCACAACAAAAAAACTCCGAGGTTGAATAACAAAGGCATTTGAATTGATTTTAATTTACGGGTTATGTTTAAACTTTTTATAACTCTGGATCAAAATGTCTATTGTACAAGCAAAATACATCTTTCACCATAGCATGCTCATGTTTATTGCGTTTTATTCTCTCAGCAGGTGTCCCTAGATATATGCTGTCCTGTTATCTTTTCATCCAGCAAAGGAAGAGGAAAAATCTTCATCCTCTTGCAGAGCTAGTATTGGAAACAAAGAACAGCAAGGGAATAACCATGGACCTCCTTCTCTGTTTTGTCCTGATTTTTTTTTCATCAGATCCATGTCTCTGTCTTGCTCCTACCCCTTGCTATACAGAGCTTCCAAATACGCTATGGTATGTTCCACAAAGAAATATTTAGCACTTTTATCAGTATATCAAAGTGACACAATTATTCCCATTTCACTGGTGTGAAAACCAAGACTCAGACATCACCTGTATGGAGTATGCACAGCAGGGAAATAGCACTGTAAATTTCCGGTCTATGAATGCCATATGTATACATCAGAAATGAGGTAGTAAAGAATGGGACATTTCTGTCTGCCATGCACAAAGAGGTCAAGAAAGAGAAGGAATAAGAGGCATCAGTCCCTAACACCCCAGGTTATACACTTTCTGTTGTCCTAAGAAAGATATAGAATCAGCCATAAACAATTAAAACCAAAACCAACTGATTTCAGACATGGCTTTTAGAGAAAAATATAACACATGATTAAATGTGAGTGAGAAATGGCAACATAGATAACTACCAGCTATCAGCTGCACCCTGATAGCCCAGCCATGGAGCGCTGCTAGGTATATGGTAAATGTATTAGCAAAATGAAGAACAAAACTCTTGGGTTTAGCCTGACTACAGTAGTAAATTAAAATACTTCTTGTTTCTTAGTAGATATGAGGTTTAGCTGGAAAGGCAACAGATGCTCTGAATTTCAGTGTTTAAAATGAGACATTGAGACTCTTTCTTTTTAGCCAAATTGTTACAAGTATGGGAGAAGATGCTCTTTTTTTCTTCAGCATTGAATAAGATGTTAAACTTAGTTTTCTAAGCTCATTTCATGAATCATTCATGATCAAGTACAAATCCTCACGAACTCACAAGCTTTCTGGTCGAGAGCACTGAACCAGCAAGAAGAATATTTAGGGAGATTTAATGGGAATGCCAAAACAGTTAAAAATATGACTGTAGGGATCATAAACAGTAAGTGAATTCATTGGACCAGAACACTTATCCGTTGGTTCAGTCCCATTTGTACTATCAGCAATGTTGATAATAAAAGGGTTGCAGATTTTGCAAAGAACTTCAGATTCTCAAATTCTCTCTAATTTTTTTATGCATCTGTAGTTGTTATTTCTGTGAAGGGCTTCATGCCATCCTGCTGCACTTGTGACTCACTGAAAATCTTTTTTTGAGACTTAGCAGTATGATGTTCTAAGTAAGTCATGCTGAGAAAAACACTCATTTAGGATAAAACAGATCAAGTTGTGTTTACAGTGACCAAAAAACTTCTAATAAATATTGTCTCCACAAAAATCCGAGAAGATAACCAGATTCAGAGGGAAATAGATTAGCTGACCAGCAAATGTACTGAACTAAGACCAAATGTTTGGAAGGCATGAAAAGCAAAAGTCTCCATGCGTTTTTTACCACCCCCTTTTATGTTCTCATTCAATTAGAAGGTGCACACGTTTCTCTAGCATCTGCTCCCATTCCTCATTATCTTGCTGGGGGAGGGGACAGACAGGAGAATGAGGGGTCTGGGGAGGACATGCTAAAGGAAAAGGAAGATTAAAAGGCCTTAATGGTTGTAAGGGCAAGAAATAAGATTCATCCTGCTTGTGAAATGGCCAGGTGAGGGTTAGGTTGTGATGACACTGCCTTCGACAACATGGCCAACATCAAGACGACAGTCAGCTGGGAGCATTCAGCACCACATGGCAAGCAGAGCTGCATCTCCAAGGGATGCTCTTACCCCTTGCACAAAATCCTCTAGCACTGCCTCCATAACTTCCAAACAGGTCTAGCTTTTTCCTTTTAATCACTACTGCATTTGGATAGAAACTTATGGGCAAATATAGTGGTGACTCAGCTGATGATTTGGGAATGAAAATGCACCTTCACAGGCTCCAAATTCATCAGGTCTGGAATCTTCTAATACCCAAAGTCTTCCACAGCAGCCTAACATCTTGGCTACCTCCAAACTACACCAGTGCTTTCTGGTAGCACTATAGCAAGCTCCCAGAGGCACCAGGAAGCTGGGGATCCTCTGCAATTACCTGTCAGAAATACGACACGAGACTAGGAGGAACAGGCTGCCATCTCTGTCCCCTTTCCCAAAGAAGACTGGGAAGAGCCATTTTGTCACCATTTTCAAATCCTGTAAAATCTCCATGATGCTGTCAAAACACAGGTAAGCACAGACCTCATCTCTGGCAAATTCATATAAACTGAGTAAACACAAAATGCAATGAGAGGTTAATCAGTCTCTTCTACAGCGTGCCAGCTTATATTTTTGCTTGAAGCATAGGTGTAACGGAAAGAAATGAGATAAAAATGATGATAGGCTGAGCTTGATTTTTTTCTTTTTTAAGAAAATAACTGTGCTCTTAAAAAAGTCTTAAAATTAGTAGTTTATGTTAAACATCAGCTGTTTCTGTTTTCTATTAAAACTGCTTGGGCTTTCTTTTTAACTAATTGTATTAAAAAAAAAATCAGATTTTCATATTTTAGGCTTGTGTGGTTGTAAAAACAAAAATCACATGGTTCCTAAACTTTTCTAAATTGCATTTGTATGGAAATGTGGTAAACTTTCACCTTTTTGAAAGAGTAAAATCTATGTATTGCTTTGAAAAGGGCACTAAATGGCTCCTGCATTTAGGACAGGATGGCAAACTCTTTTTGGTGCAATGTCTAAGATGCTGCTGCTGGCCTTTGCTATGATGTCAAGCATCGGCCTTTGTGGCATTGCAATTTCCCTTCTAGAAAAAAGTTGCTATTTGTAGACCAGATTGCACTGAATGAAATTTGCAGTCTCTGATGCCTGCTAGTGGGACATTTGTTACATGTTCTGTTTTGAATGTAGTAATACATATTTCAGTGTGGCACTGCTTCTTCAGAAGATTAAAAACCTCTTAGTCCTTTGAGACTTGTGTCAGCATCTGATTTCATGTGCAAGGTAATCTTTAAATATTAATATGGGGCAAGGTCATGCTCTCTTTAACCCCCAAAATGGAGTTAGTAAATCATGATCTGGCAGTAAAAATATACAGGGCACACCAGTATTTGTTTAGGGCAAAATCTAAATTTAAATTAAACTAAATTGGCTACTGGTATTTTTATAATCACATATACGTAATATATTATTTGTGGGTGGGTGGGTAAGCATTGATATCCTATGAAGCTCTAGTAGAAAAATATTTATTAGGACGATATTAATAAAATTTCTCCCATCAACAGCAGAGAAAGTGGTATACTGAAATACCAGTTAGATAAATCTAAAGCAGGAATTCAGAAGCTCTTGGGGCAAATCTGCTGCTGTCAGATCTCTGATGACTGCAGCAGAATGAGTCAGTTTCCACCAGATGAGCAGGAGCCTTTTGGGCTCTTGTCTAAGCTGAACCACTGATTTATGGCATGACACTGGTATTCTCTTTGACCTCTTTATATGCCATCCATCCTCCTAAGGAACAGGGGAGGGGGGACTGCCGGACCTTGCTGGAAACTAGATGATAGACCCAAATAGACTTTCCCTAGGCAAAATAAAACATTTCATAGTTAAATTTCTTGAGAGGGGCTGATGGGTTAGCCTTGTAATTCTAGATACATTACCATTACATGTTATCCGGCACTCAGCTCCCAATGCAGCTGAGGTTCATGCCACACATAACTAACCACATTTGTTTTGCTGCCAGGGGACCTCCCTTGCTGCGGAGATGGGGAATGGCTTTATCCTACAAAAGAGAGCCAGTTGAACTCTGTGAAGAGTCAGTATTGTGAGACCATGACCTTTCATATGAAATACTTACAAGGCAACTGAGAGGTAGCAGAGTCTGGGGAGAGAAAAAGTCTTCACCTGAACATTGGGAAATAAAAGGAGACAAATCATTTGAATTTAAAAATACAGCAAATGTGTTTGTTAAATAGACAGTGAAAGGGTGATTCTCATTTAGTACAGAGAAGAGAGTATTTTAGCTTTGGCATTAATGATATGAACTACTGAATGGGTAAGATTTTCCTATAGAAGCATCTGAGACAAAAGGTGGTTGTAAATAATCAGCTAAAGTAGCTGTACTTTGCTCTTTGCTTTGCTTCCTGATGTTGTCAGTTATTTCAAATTATGTATATAAATTTTGTGATGTGGACTGTTATGTCCATTGGGAGGTGTGCTCAGGCTTTTAAACTCATTTCCTCTGGCCTTTTTACTTTGGTCTGAGCCCAAAAATGTTTTATGGGCCTCATCAGTAGAGGTAATGGGTGCCTCTGGATCAGGTCACGCAGGCTGCATTACACCAGATACAAGTCAGTCACTCAGAAGTGTGTAGAATAGACTTGGAGTCTCCAAGATGCAACAGCTGCACTTCAGTCTCTAACCCTACAGAATGATTAAAACAAAATTTAAATCAGCCTATGTCACCATTCGGGGAGGTACCTCGGCTCAGCGAAGCCATGATGTGGGCTTTGGCGGGGAAGATCCTCCAAGATCTCACAGAACGTTAAACTGCTTGGTGGCTGTGGTTTCCAGTCTGGGGTAGAAGGATGCTCAGGGACCTGTGGATTCCTTCTGAAGGCTCTGCAGAGGTAATGAGGAAAAGCTTATTTTCAGCAGGCTTATGTTCATTATGTAAGTTTCCACACCTCCACCGAAAGCTTTCTTAGAAATCCACAGATAAAAAAGTTTAAGACTTTGCTCTCATATATAACAATTTAATACTAATACTTTACATTTCCTTATTTATGAAGATGGATTTTTTCATCAGGTTCAGAAATTGCTTTCAAAGCACGTTTCCATCTCTCACTAACCAGCTCTCACCTGTTAAAAACTCACTGGAGTTATTTTGTAATGTTTAAAAATGTATGGAGACCCAATCCTCTCTGGCATCGCCTCATAGAAATCAAACTGAACAACAAAAAACCTGCCTCTGAGGAGGATACAGGAGCAAAGAAACAAGCCAGTGGGCAACAAGGACACTGAGAAAGAATCAGCAGATTATCTGACAAAATACAAGACTGGGGAAAAAGAAAGAGGGGGAAGAAAGGGAGGACAGAAAAGCAGCACACCTAGAAATTAGTCTGTAAGAACAGAAACCATGCTGAATCTCACTGCACCATCTCCTTTGGCCTGAAAGACAGCAGGGTCGAGGGCTACAGGCTCTGTGCAGGTGTGGTGGCAGGGCTGCGGTGGCTGCGAGGTGGCAGCCAGCCGCCGGCACCCCCTGGTCCCCGACAGCTCTGCCTGAGCCCTGCAGCCCTGCGGCTGCTTGGCTGGGACTGGGCCTTCCTGCAAAATGCCAACCACGTTACTGTCATCCCATAAATTACTGGTAACAGCAAAACCAACAGGTAAACACAAACAAAAAAATGTGGCTGCATTTAAAACAGGCAAGTGCCCTGCTCAGGAAAGGGTTGTAAATGCCTCAGGAATCCAAAACACAGCTTTTGGCACAAACCGTCTTAGAAGAATATGGGGAAGTTGTACCAAGGAACTTGTCACCCTGTGTCAACTGCACATTTACCTGCAGCTGAGGATGGAGGCTACACTGCGGCCTCTTGGAAGGGTGGAGCAGTCAAACCTGGCATAGCCTTGTTTTCCAAGTAGGATAGCAGAACAGCAGTTTCGGGGTGCTCATTTTAGCCAAACAAGGCTTTCTGCAGCTGGCAAATAATTCAATTGGAAAGCCCTTTCTGGAGAGTGAACAGGATGTCAGCAGTACAAGGAGTCACAGTTCCCAAGGCCATCTTTCTGAGGGATGCTACAATACTCTGGTGGGTTTAGACCCCCCCCAAAAAATGGGCTCTGAGACATCAGGGAGGGAGATGACAAGGACAGGAGACAAAATACAGACAGCCAGGCTGGGGCTGGGATCATCTGAAGAAGCCCTCAGAAGCAAAATTTGTTTCAGGAGAAAGGTTCTGGCTTGTCAAGAGCAGAATCAATGATAAAGAAACAGCAATTAGCATGATTTTAAATATTCCTCTAAAACACGCTATAAATCGTCCTGCCCTTGGGAGAGCCAGAACAAAAGACAAGCATAAAACTGCAGGCAAAATGCAAAGGTCTCCATCTCACTGTGCAGGCAGATGGAGTTATTTAGTAAATCCTCTACAGTCTTCTCTGGGCTATAAGGAAAGAAGAAAAAAAAGCTGCCCAAAGTTTCAGTCAATATTTACCTCTTGGGTTAATAAATTGTGATCCTGACCTCAACAAAAGTCAATATCTTCTGATTATTATATGCAGGCACCTTTTTATTTGTCCTCACTCATTGTATAATGAGTCACCCGTTTCCACTGGCAACTTCACTTTAATTTTGAATGTCTGAATGGAACAATCATTTATACTCCAAAGGCATAAGACAAAATTACTATAAACTAGAGCTGTAAAATGTGGACTTAGGTTGCTATTTCCAGTGAATAAGCAAGCTTGGGCGGGGGCAGGAGGGATCAAGGATTAAGCACAGAAAATAGCCGTTTTAAATCCTCTTTTAAACACCTCTGAGTGACAAGGAGCAGAGAGAGGAAAGCCCTGAACTGTGCTATTAAATACAATAAGGCTGCAAGTGTGGGAGGAAAGAAAAGACAACAATCTGGCCTGACTAGTGAACTTGTTTTAATGGAACATTATTAGTCTTTCTCCCTGAAATAACCAAGAGCAACGCCAGAAAATATAGGCCAAGGGCAACAAGTATAGATTCACACACTTGCAAGCCAAGCCAAGCCACAAAAGCAGATCTGAATGAAAGTCACCACACACTTGCTGCTTCATTAGAGGTGGGCTGGGCCAGAGCTAGAGGGAGAAAATTCAGGGTGTTATTCTCATAATTATGTAATGTTTTATATAATACCACAGGTGTGCACTGTGCTTTCCTGAAAGAAATCAAAGCACAGCCTCCCCCAGCAAGATCAAGAATCAGCTAGAATCACATTTTTTTCTCTTCAACTTCTCATTTTTCAAACATCCCCCACTGCCTATAATAAAAATGTCCTTTGGGCTTACAAGCCTTATGATGCTGGAAAGATTTTCACCCACACAACCCACTATGCCCATCTCTTTTTCAAAAAGTAAGTTACTTCACCAGTTTAAGTTTGGCTGGCTTAACATTATTCTGCTATTAATCCCACTCTTTCAAACAGTGGTGAGAGCAGCACATCTCTACCTTAGAGCACAGTAGTTTTTGAACAGTAGAAAATCAGGAAGAGCAAATTGTGATCAAAACAATTATGATCTGGCTGTCTTTGTGAACACTAATAAACCCCATGTAAACCATCCTAGTGTATTTCTTCTAAAAGCCACATTATATACCTGCATGGTGCTACTCTGATACCATACTACTCTGCATTGTAAATAAAAAATAGTTCATTATGAGTAAAGTAGGTAATGTTGTGCTCATGGGAAAATGAATAGAGAAACATTATTTTCAAACTAGAAAAGAAGCTGTCATTTTCCGATGGGACATTCAGCCCAGTGTTTAGCAGTTCAATAAATACTTTTGTATTATCTGTTAATACTGTGCTTACATCCTATATTATTCAAAAAGGTATAGCTCATTCAGAAGGAGCAGAGTTGGTCTGCCTGAGCTTCAGAAATATCATGTCATCATAAGTAGATTTTCATTCTGCTTCACAAATCCAGCTTACAGTTCACTTGGTCTAAGCACATTTTAAATAGAGACCAGCAGATAAAGTCATTTAGAGAGCTCATACACCAAAAAAGCAGGTGATTTTCTAAAACAAAAATATATAAAACCAGAATGTAAAAGAATCTCCCCACACCGAGAAGCCACAACCTGGAACCTGACAGTGCTGCAGCTCAATACATTAAAGCTTCATTTGATATTCTCAGACCTGCTCCTACTAAATTCAGATGTTTTTAACCATTAACTCAGTTGAGATCTTTTATTTCCATCTAATGACCTGTATCAGCAACTGCCGCCATTACCACATCAGTACCAACAAGTAGGCATGCTAATTTGTGTTCCATTAAACAGCATGCATATCTATAGAGGAAGGCTGGAAACTGTCTCATGAACATAAATGAATGGAGTTTCAGTAGATTTGAATAAATCTGTGGGCATTTTGTAGCTATAGAAGATTTTAATCAACAGCCTTTATAATAAGTCGGAAATATCAGCTGATTTAAACTCATCAGAGTCAACAGACAGAAACTGCAATAAGGTGAGTAAAACACAGTTGGGTGCTGTGGTTTCTGAAAACCTAGCACATTCCCAGGGCGATGCTTACTTTTGAAAAGAAATTATTCCTCCGCATATTTTAGCAGAAAATCTTGAAGTACATTATCTTGAAGGGAATGGGAAGAATCAGACATAGTAGGACATTTAATTAATTTGGTTGACTACAGTGGGCACCCATGGTACTCTAAGCCAAACATCTTCATAGCAACCTTCTCTGGCCAAACTCAGAGTAATTTATATATTTACTGTGAAATGATGAAATCTGTCCTAGTCTGCTTGTCCATATTGGGTAATAGTACAAGCTGAGCTTCTCATTTATGTTCGGGAGGAAGGCCACTGCAGTGTCTGCCAAAACCAGCATCCCCAACCAGATACACGGTTGATACACCATAAGTACCAATGATCACTCTATACTACAGAGAAAAAGGTAGCTATGACATCTTTCATGATTGTAAAATGTTTTTTCTGCATTTTCACTCTTTGCTATCTCAAGAACAAAAGTCAAAAAGCTCTTAAACACCGGTCAGCCTTGTGGATATTTGAGGCCTCCAGACCACATCATTTACATCAGAGAAAAGGTGTTTATGTGCATGCATGTTTCCTACAGGGCAAACCTGAAGATTAGACAATTGCCCTTCCTTTCTATACATTTCCAGAACAGAACATGCATTAATAGAGAGAGTAAATAGTATTCAATTCAGATAAGCTATTTTTTTGCAATGAATTTGGAAATACTGCTCTTGTAGGAGATACAGTTCCCAAGGTCTCTTTCAAGATTCTGAGGCCTGACAGAAGAGTAGATAATTTCCATGATGATACTGTTTTTGAGGTCATGCAGAGTCAGAAAGAGAACTTCTCCAAAGAGGGCAAAGCCCATCGCCCACAAGGAGAATGAAGAACTCCAAATTAGTCCCATGCCATTACCTGGTGCTGCAGGAGAAGCACAGCAGGGAAGATGTCCCAGCTGTAGGGCACAGTGGAGTAATTCTCAGCTCTGAATGCCACTGCAAGCAATGTCACTGATGGGCACATGCAGGAGGCAGCCACCAGAGACACCTCACCAAGGAGCAGAGTGGAGCTTGGAGCCAGGTTTTGGTCCAGGTCATTATTCCTCTCTGCCTTCTGCAGAAGGAAGCTGCTGGTGGAGCCACACCGAGCACCACACAGGCAACGTGCTGCAGGCAGCAGCTCCACCACCAAGCTCTGACAGCCTTCATCTGTACTGGGACCAGGCCACAAAGTGTCCCCAAAATAAGGACTGAAAGCTGGAGTTCGTTTTAAATTTCACAGCAAGCCAGTGGGAATATGTTTGATGCGTTTATCATAGCCTGTGCTGCTAGAGATTCAGTGAGTCTCCTAAATTAGTACAAGTTCCTGAATACTA